TGGGCTCCTAATGAGAACAGTCCCCAAAAGGTCTGTGTGTGGACCTGAGTTCTACATTTTCTTTCTGGAATGAAAGGAATTGAATTAAGTGGGAAGTTGGAAGTCACACAGGGGACACTGATTACTGACTTCTCCAAGATCTTCTGGTTCTGCTGAATCCTGTACCTTATGATCTTATTTTAAACAAAAGGACTTATTTTAATGCTGTTTCTATCATTTCTCCCTTTAGCAATTGAATTCTATCAAAATTCTAGAGAAGAACATATTATTCAATGTCAGGCATCTGTTTTCATTTGACAGCTGAAAGAAATAGAAATCCAGAGAAGGTAGACACAGTGCTCTTTTAGTCATAGCAAGGGAAGTTCCTTTGGAGAAAACATCTGTTCTCCTCCAGGCTGACGTTCTTCAGCAGTGTCTCCTCCGATCTCCAGCAACATCAAGCACTATCTCATGTTGTCCTCTCACCCAAATCCTGCTTAGGAGTGATGATAAATTGCTACTATTCTGCTTGGATGAATTTCAGCTGTATTCAGAATTTAGAACTTTGGCTAGAACCCAGGTAGCTTTCTCTCTTTGTGCCAACCCAAAGGCAAGATTAACCCCAAGACTTTTCAACAGGATCCTAGGTCCAAGAGGCAGACGAGTAAGACATCAAAAGGACTTTCTGTCCATCTTTACCCAGGCATTCACTTCTATCCATGTTCTCAAAACCCTCTTTTCATTTTAGAGAGCCAAAATGCATTTTTTTCTCTTTATTGACTATTTTGATTTTAAAAAGCATACAAACATGTACTAGCACTTTCTTCTTAGTTCTTTAGTGTATCGTTTCTATTTTAGAAAGACTATCACAACTAATCATTAGTAAATAGACACAACTGCCCATTTGGACTAGACATCCCCACCCAGTTTCTGTGGGTGGTCTGGCATCCAGGAGAAAGATGCTTAGACTCCAGGGGGCTGATGTGTGGGGCTTTGGATCTCTGCGAGTTCTACAGTAACTCTAAGATGGATTGTGCACTCTATTTTTGGATTCACACTGGGAAGCCAATTAAATTAAAAGGCTATTCATTTCACTATATTTGTCTCCAGGCTGCTCAAATAGAAATGCAAACGACTTCTATTGAGTGAGTTTTCTACCTCAAAGAGAATGAGATTATAACACCATGCCCTGTGTACCCCAGAGTCCAGTCTGCATTAAGAGGGGAGAAATACAAACTTCAATCTGTAGGGCTACTTGGAGACTTCTTTCATGAACATTATTTGAAATTATCCTAAACGAAAATGGTGAGCTCCAATCCCTCTCACTGTTCCTTAGTGAGATTGTTGAGTTTACTGAAATGGACACAACTAGGAGAGAAGAAGAGATTCTTTTCCAGCTTGAATCAGAAGAGTGAAGAAATGACAGTGCCTAAATAGGACAAATACTGTTTTCTCACTATAGCTTTCATTTACAACAGGCCATAGCCTTGCACAGAGATAAATTTCAGTAACCCTTAGGTCTCATATGGCCAATTTCAAAACCTACAAAATGGGGACCAATTGCTGTATTAATAACTCAAACTAGGGACCTCCCTGATGGCTCACAGGTTAGGCTCAGCACTATTACCAGCATGTCCTGAGTTCAATCCCCAGCCAGGGAGCTAACCCACATGCCACAGCAGACCTCTCCTGTCTTGCCCACTGCTCCCCTCAGCAGTGTATTTCATCAGTCTGCCTGTTCTGTTCCCTGCTCTGTCTCTGGTGAATCCTCTCACCGCCACCCCCGCATTTCTGGCCTACACCCCAGTTCTTGTATGCATAAATAAATCAAAATAAATCTTAAAAAAAAAAAAAACTCAAACAAAAAAAAACTCAAACTAAAGGGTCAGAAGTGAATTGTGCTAGCCTGATTAACCCAACTCATAGGTTCTTGACTTAGAGAACAGATTAACAGGAGAAAAGCGCATTTAATTTCATACGTACAAGAGGCCCCATAAAAATATAAAGATCTAAAGAAGTGACCAAAGTAGGCAGATTTTATACCTTTTTTGACAAAAAAAAGAGTAAATAAACTTTTGAAGAATTGGCAAGACAAAGAAATGTAGACCTCTGTAGTAAATGAGTAAAAAACAAAAAAGTTCAGTTCAGGGAGGGCACCTTTCATAGAGGAGATTTATGTCCTGCTTTTCAGCAAAGAAGCATGGGAGTGATCTTCTTGAGCCTGCCTTATCTTGAGTAACTTTAATTCAAAATAATCAATATGCCAAAGAGGCCTATTTGGGGGTGGTCTGTCCTGAACCATATCAATGACAAAAGATAATCAAATCAGGGCCATTCACATGTTTATCATGATACCTTAAAAAAATGGGTAAACTGGTGGTTTGCCCAAGAAAATAACTAAAAGCAAATGGATTTTGCAGGGTTTTTTTTTTTTTTTCCCTCAAAACACATGTGGCATTAAAAAATATATATGTGACATGTGGGACATAGGGAAATTGTCCTCCAGTAGCCCTTGTACAAAAGTAATTTCAATTTTGAACAGATGACCTTCCACACACACACACACACAAATAGGACTTTCAATAAAATAACAGCTCATAGTCTGCCATTTGTACATCATTTTGTGGCCTGGCTGGTCCAAATTGAAACTTGCCCATAAACAATAGCACATGAAATGTTAGGTTGCCCCTAATGGTGGGGATACCGGGTCTCAGTTATGGAGAGGAGGGGAGCGATGTTGGTGTGGTGGCCTTCATTATTGCTTATGGAAACCTGTCGGGCAGGATGTGATAAGCAGAATAAAATTTGAGACAACAAAAAATGTCTCAATGTTTATGAAAGCCCAAAACTACTTCCCAGAAAAAAGAAGCCATTTAGAGCAAATTGAAAATTACTTGACTTTATCTTCACTTTCATGAAAAAGAAAATGCCCGTCTGAGAACAATTCAAAGCAGTCTTTGAAATTCTTTTTTTTTAAACATGAATTCTTTTTTTTTTTTTTAAAGATTTATTTATACAAGAACTGGGGTACAGGTCAGAGACATGGGAGGGTGAGAGGATTCACCAGAGACAGAGTGGGGAGCAGAACAGGCAGGAAGACTGAAATACACTGCTGGGGGGAGCAGTGAGCGACACAGGAGAGGTCTGCCGTGCCATGTGGGTATCTCCCTGGCCAGCCAAGAATGGAACCTGCGCTGCAGAGGCTGTGGACAGCTTCCCAGCGCAGTGCTCAACCTGTTGGCGCCACTGGGGAGGCCCAGTCTTGAAATTCTTATCCATTGAAAAATGAGTGGAAGGAGAAAGGAAGGGAAGGGAAAAAAAGGAGGAAAGGGAGAAGGAGGGAGGAAAGATGACGCACGAAGACCAGAGAGTGAAAAACAAAGTGACCATGTTGATACTCTGCCTCTGAAATTTCAAAATTCACTACATTTTTCCTCTCATAAAATGAACAAATACAAACCTGTGACCTAGTCTTATATCAGATAAAATTTCCTCTGAAGACTCTGAAGAGTGTGTTGTTTTTTTTGGTAAAGGCCTTAAACAGTAAATTGGATTAAATTGAATGGTCAGTCTCTGATTCTATTATATTCCTATTAGCCCCTAAAAAAAAAAAGTCAAACCATCAAAAAAAAAAAATACAAAATACAAGCAAGCCTGTACCAGAATGTTCACAGCAGGCCTATTTGTAAGAGCCAGAAACTGGAAACGACCCAAATGTTCATCAGCAATAGAATGGATAAATAATAAATTGTGGCATATTCACACAATGGAATACTAGCAATGAGAATAAACAAACTACAGCTATATCAACAATAAGAAAAAATCTCATACACATAATGTTTGACAAAAGAAACCAGATGTAATGGAATACTTATTATATGATTGCATGTATATTAAAGTGGAAAAAGAGGCAACTAATTTATGGTAATGAAAGCCAGAAAGGAATTATCATTGGGGAAGGGACTATACGGAACCCCCTTGGAGGGCTTGTCATGTTGCTGTTTCTTGATTTGAATGATGGATACACTTTCTGAAAATTTATCAAGTTGTACATGCTTTTTTGGTCTATGGTCTATGCTTTTTTCTGCATGTATGTTTTACTTCAATAAATGTCTACTTACAAGTGCCTACAATATGCGCAAACTTTGGGGAGGTGTTGGGAATGTGTTATATTTCAACTGCAATGGGAATTATATGACCATATACATTCATTAAAACTCACCAAACTGTACGGTTAAGATTGGTGGATTTTATTATATACAAGCTATAATTAATAAAAGTGATTTTTTAAATCATTAGAGTTTGAAAAACAGTTCTACTTTCTATATACCATGTAACTTGAGAACATTCAGAACAAAGCAGCTTGAGAACAAAGACAGAAGAAAAGCAAATGTATTTATCTTTGAGCTTTATTTTGCAGAAGAAACAAATAAAGCAATGACATATTCTTAAATGTGTATAAATTATTAGACTATCAGTTCTTAAAAGCAGAGATCCTACTTACATGTGAGTCTTAGTATTAGCCAACTGGAAAACTGAGGCTAAGGATGCTCATTGCAATTCTAATTAATTAATTCATAATCTGCTAAATTTCTCCTGGTGTCACCAACATTCTGTATCAGCACATTTTCAGGGCTGTGCACAATAATGCTATGAAACAACCACAAACCTCATATACTGCTCAGGCATCTGGAGCCAGATGGTGAGGGGAGGGGGAAGGCAGTGACTGGGCTGACATGTAGGGCTTGTTCCCAAGACTAGGGCTACATTAGCTACTGGCTGATATAAGCTGGCCTCAACTAGAATGACTGAGGCAGTTAGACGTGGTTGTGATCCTCAAAGATGGTCCCCAGTGATGCTTACCTCCAGGCATCCATGCCCTCAGGCAGTCCCCCATCACCTAAAATAGTTTTCCTTTGTAACTAACAGGATGTTCCAAAGACGTCAGTCATTTCATTGTTGGATCACAAAATACGTTGTGTCTTCTGTCTCACATATTTGGGTCACTCAACTGACTGGAATCCAGACACCACGTCATGAAGTCAAGTGGCCCCTATGGAGAGATTCACCGTGGGAGAAAACAAAGTCTCAACATCCAGCTCTAACTCTCTAGACTCATGACTGAGTCATCCTGGAATTCAGTCTTCCAGTCCCAGCCTCTTTCCAGATGATCAGAACCCCTGAACCAGAAGCCTCATCCACAATGGACCTGGTAAGGCACACCTGGATTCCTAAATCACAGGCTCTCTGAAACATAAATGTTTACTATTATATTTATGTATAATATATGATGTGGTCACAGATAACTAATATACTTGACTTGGTACCATGGGCTTTCATTATGGACTACTTGGGGTCCATCCTCATGGTAACAGCAAAGACGGAAGAGAGCAAGAGTAGGCATTTTCAAAACTCTCCTCTTACCATGTGTGCTAAGATTCTTTGACCAAGTGAAGCCAAATGACTCAGCTCAGGGTGGTGGGGCAGAGCACGTTAGCTTACCTACTGTGGGAAGGTGCTGCAAATTTATATGCCAAAGAGTGTGCTGGTGGTTTTAAAATGTGTTCACAAATCCTTTGATACTGTCCCACTCAAAAGGTAGGGCCTATTTCTTCACCCCTTAAGTGTGGACTACTTAGCGATTAGCTTTTTTATGTTATTGATTCACTCAATGAAAGAGAAGCTTTATTGAGACCACATATAGCTGCCCTGCAGCCAAAAGAGAAGTTCACGGAAGGGCCTTATTTGACCTTCTTGGGGCACAGACTGTGGTGTGACAACACTTCAGCTGGCAGTGTAGGGATACAGGCAAACAGGACATCTGCCCACATCATCTTGTTGCATTATATTTTGGGACAAGCCAGTAGAGGGGACATTCCCATGGCAGGACCAGTAGGCCAGGCATTGAGTGAAGGGTGAACTCTTTTCAGACATTGTAGATGGAAAGAGTATGGACACTGCAAAAATCAAATGCTGTTGGTCGGGGCGGGGGTGGGGGGGAGCGGCAGGGGTATGCCCTCCCTATCTTAGACCTTTGCTTTGACATTCTCAGTGGTGTCTTTGGACTCAATCTTGGGAGTGAGGGTCTTGCCCATCAGGATTTTCATAAAAATCTGTATCTGTGTCAGCCACTCATTTGCCTTGTTGTAAAGAGGAGACTCACTTTGTATAAAAAGAATGTGATAGAAGCAATGATGTGCTACAGTCCAGATGAGAGCATAGAAAGGAGAATTTCTCACTCTCTTTCATGGATTCCTTGCTCTGAGGGAATCAACCAGAATTGAAAAGAAGTCTATGTGCAGATAAACTGAGGCCAACTATAACAATAAAGAGCCCCAACCTGCGATCATACTGTAGTGAATCTTCCAGCCCCAGTCAAGCCTTTAGTTCACTGCCACCCCAGCCCACATCGCAACTGCAACTGAGATTCTAAGCTAAGCTACTCCTAAATATTAGTGACCTACAGAAACTGTGAGACAAAAATATTTTGTTATAAGTCCCTAAGTGTGTGATAAATTACCTATGCAGCAATTGATAATTAAAACAATGAAAGATAAAGAACTAGAGATTTTTGTTTTCAGCCACAGGTCCAGAATTCTTTGTTACAGAAAAGTTAGTTTAAGCAGAAAAGAAAGAGTAAAGAGTATTGAAGAGGGTCAGAGGTTCAGGCCTAGAGGCTACAAAGGCAACAAAAATGCCCAAAGAACAGGATGCTATTAGACATTTAGGGCAGGGAGGGAAACACCCAAAGAAAATTAATGGCCAACTATACCCAGAATCCCAGGAAACACTTGCCAAAAGGGAGGAAGGAAGTTCCCCAGCCCAATCTACAGGCAGGCCCATAAGGTCCAAGGAGAGCAAGCAGCACCCAGCGGGGAGCAATTCCTCAAAATTAGCCAGTTTCTGATGATAAAGCAAAAGCAATTCTCCTAAACAGGACAAACAATACCTGGGAAAAACCCCTAACACTCTGCCCTGACTCAGCCTGCTACCTAGACTGATAAACTACATGCTGGAAGTGCCTGCACAGTGCACCCCCAGAAGGGACAGAGTGAACAGTTCCTCCACTCCATTTAAGTCTGGAGCCCCCACAATTTCCTGGCAGTTGCTTATCCAGGACTCTGCCCACCTAAGGACCTCTCCCTGGGTGTCCTTTTATACTGTTTCTAAATAAACTTTGCTTTAGCTTCTGCTAAAGACGTAGCTGTGGATTCTTCTCACACCATAGTAAAGAACCAAGGAACCCTAAATCCAGGAAACCCAAAATCCAACTATAATGTCTCTACTCCAACAGGGACTCTATCCTGTTGCAAATAGATTAAGATGCCTTAAGTGGCATATAGTGGCAGGAAGTCACAATGCAGGATATCTATGATTTGAGCAGACAGGTAAAGGAGAGTCCTGGAGCCCTCAGTGGCTTTTTCAGGCTTTTATTCAGCTCTTACCAGGCACAATGCAAGCAGGGGTGTGTGTGCGCAGTGGGGCAGGAGGCTGGCAGGCCTCCCAGCTCCCGGCGAATCTTCACTCTGGGCTCTCTGGAGTTCTCTCGTGGCCTCTGCTTCTCTGCTGGTTCTACTCTCGTTCTGCTACTCTTTCGTTCTGCTACTCTTTCTCTCGTTCTGCTGCTCTTTTCTCTCTGCTGGAGTCCCCATGATGCCGCCCTTATAAGCCCAGTCTCAGTCCAGGTGTTCCCACCTATGTATGCCCACACCCACTCCAGGTGTATGCTATCAGGCATGCATGTAGGACCACAGGGATCCATCATTAATGCTAATGGCGCGAAGGTGGAAAAGTCTGATACTTTTTCACGTACCCTGCTTGCACCACTGATGTTGGCAGCCAGATGCCAGAATGTCCACCATTTATATCCTAGAAAGCTGTACGCCTATATCAAACAAGTTGTACGTCTTATCATCAGACACTGGCTAATTTCAGGGAATAGCTCCCCCTGGGTGTTTCTTGCTCTCCTTGGGCCTTATGGGCCTGCCTGTAGATTGGGCTGGGAAACTTCCTTCCTCCCTTCTGGCAAGTGTTTCCTGGAGTCCTGGGTATAGTTGGCCATTAATTTTCTTTGGGTGTTTCCCTCCCTGCCCTAAATGTCTAACAGTATCCTGTTCTTTGGGCATTGTTGTTGCCTTTTGTAGCCTCTAGACCTGAAGCTCTGACTCTCATGGAGATTCTTCAATACTCTACTGTTTCTTTTCTGCTTAAACTAACTTTTCTGCAACTAAGAATTCTGAAAACAAAAATCAGCGTCCTATTGGTATCAGCTTCATATTGTTGCTCTCTTCCACTTAGAAGAGGTCTTGCACAGGTGCATGCGGTTCGAGGTATCTCAGTGCATGGGAGAATGGGGGGAAATGAATCGTGGGCTCCACACTTGCAGAGATATTAGCAACACAGGCAACACGCCAGAAAGAGGAAAGGAGTTCAAAGAGTGCTGAGTAGGTTGGAAAAATGACAAAGGCTCACTTTTGTCCCATATGTTTTGCAACCACCCCAGGCCGGATAGATTCATCTTCAGTTCTTTCAGACAAAAAGATAATTTTGGAGCCTCCAGTACATTTCTACAGGGCTTTAATGCTGAATCAGGGTCAGGCAGCTTTCTTCTCAGTATTTCTCTGCTGCCTCCGTTCCCTGACCTCCCGCCTCACAGTGACTCCGCCCTTACAGCCCCTCATCCCTGCGCAAGATGTCTGTAGGGTAAAGAAAATGTCAGGCTTTTCTGCCCTCCCGCCATCAGGATAGATGATGAATCCTTGAGGTCCTGAATGCATGCCTGATGGCGGGCACCTGGAATAGGGTGTGGGCATAGGATTCACCTGGGCTAAGACTGTGCTTTTTAAGGGCGGTGTCATGGGGATGCCAGCAGAAGCAGAAGAAGCCAAAAGAGAAGCCGAGAGAGAAGCAAGAGAAGCAGAAGCTGAGAGAAGGCCGGAGAGCACAGATAGAATGAAGACTTGCTGGGGGCTGGGAGGCCTGCCAGCCTCCTGGCCCCCCAGCACCCTTACCTGCTGTGTACCGGGTAAATCCCAATAAAAAGACCTGCAAAAAGCCACTAAGGACTCTGATTCCTCCTTTACCCGTCTGCTGGATTAGATAACCTGCACAGTGTCCTGTCCTGCCTTTACAATGTCCCTATTTACATATGCACATGCTCCATGATCTCCAGGCCCAGGTGTTCATAATTATAGGTGCACATGCAAGACTGCAGGTGCTGGTCATAGATGCTAAAGGTCAGAGGGTGTAAAAAGCCTGATTTTTAGCTCATTTATCCTACACCATACAAAATTATCATTATATTACTAAAATACCGATAATTAGAGAAATTATCGACATACCCTTCTATTTTCTGGAACCCAAGCTGGCAAATGAATTTCTTCTTGAGAGTCATTTCCAGCCAATTACTAGTGATGGCCAGTGTTATATGTTAAGACAAACTCTACGCTCAGTTGCAGGATCTGGGAACAAGCTGTGCTGATGCTATGAGTGCAGCATATTTGTATTAAATAATAGCTACCTGCAGAAATCCATGTCCTCAGTCTCTGTCTTTTATCTCATTTCCTACAAGGAGGCTCTAAAAACAGCCCATGACCTTTTATAATTGTTTAAGTTAAAACTGTTCCAAGCCATCTTTTAGTCATCCACCTGAAATGTCATATAAGTAGTCCATTTCTAGATTAAAAAATAGTGGTTGTGGCTGCATCTGGCCTTCTCAAGCCCATTTCACCCCCAGCATCCCCAAATTCCACAAGACACAGAGTGATTGTCCTTAATCTATACCATTGGTATAATCAATGGTTTACCTTGCAGGGTCCACTCATAGCATCAGCCAATTGGTATAAATAAATTCTGACAATTGGTGTAAATAAATTCTGGACAAACCACCCACACTTTATTCTTATCATTTCTCAATTCGGATGCTTTGACTTTGCCCCCTGTAAGTCAGAAATGTTTGTAGTCACAGAAGCTGGAAAGCTTTGCTATCTTTCATTCACTTCACACACACCAGCATGAGGCCTGGTGACTACATCTGGTTGCTTTATCTTCTTTTGTGCTAAAAGCAGGGCACTTATTTAAGGAGTGAACATCAAGTCTGGTAAGATGGCAGCTCTCCCATATACTCACAGCTAGATTGCAGCAGAACCATGCCAAGTCAAAACCTTGAGGAAAAAATGGACAACCACAGCACACAGTAGGAACAGCTGTCTG